GGTTCATGTTCGTAAACAATTACAAATATCCAATATGTAGATAGAACTTTGAAATTTATCAACATAGATGTATGCTTAGATTGTGTTGTTCTTTATAAATTTTATTTATTTCTATTAGACTCCCCATTGTGTGATTTTTTTATTTAAAATATTTAGTTTCTCTAACTGTTCCCCTTTATAATTTGATTGATTTTAAGGAAGTAACTGGTTCTATGAATTTGGTGTTGATCTTGTTGCGATGGAGAAGAGTTGTAGGTCAGATGAATGATTTTGATGAAGTTTTGTTCTCTGAGCTGAATGGTTTGGTCGTGGAGTTTTCGTCATTCTTCCGAACGACATCATCAGTACAAATTTCAGGTAGAAGTGAAGTGTTCGAATTTCTCTACATATGATTCACAGTTTGTTCTGTAGACCTCAATGTTGAATGGCTCTTGTTGACCTTAAACCTGATATTGTTTACTTCTTGATTTTGGTTGTATCTCCTATTGGTTTGATTTTTGTGCTGATGATGTCACTCAGAAGAATGATAAAAGCTCCACGATCAAACCATCCAGCTCAGAGAACAAAACTCCATCAAAAATGATCCTGTTGTGTTAATGAGGTATAACAACTTGGACCAATGCATATATGTAACTGGTCCTACGTTGTAGACTGACTGACTGAATAAAACTATAAATGAAAGATAATATCATATAAATTAAAAGTCAACATTCAATATGATAACAGAGATATTCTAACAAGGTTATTTAAATGTTCATTTGAATATTAATTTAGTTTGACAAATTAACTTTTTGTACGAATAGATATCTAATAACTAAGCAAAGGATTCAGGATTTAAATGATGATATACCTCAATACTGAATATCCACGTCCTGCCAGGGATCAAACTTGAGACATTTAAACCACATAATGAGTATATTACTATCGTATTGCCGAATTGATATGGAATAATGCAAAGTTAACAAGCATCATGGATCACTGTTAGTAATACCTATTTTTCTCTAGTTTGCAATGGTTCATTTTTGGTGTGTGCTACTTATATTGACATAAGTAGTTAGTCGTGAACAGAAGGCCTGGCAGCAGAGAGACAAGGGGATCGAACAGTAAAGAATCAAAACAGAATGCAATTTGTATGAAAATGCAAGAACAATGAAGTCTGAGTCATTTTGAGACAATTGATAAACATTTTGCAAATTAAGCATTTACTTTGTGATTGTTAAAGTTTATTAATAAGTCCTGTAATTTGTGTTAAATGCATTTGATTGTCCTCATTGATGTTCTGTTTACTACACCATATCTAAATATCAATACGTGATATAAGCTGTCAGTGAAAGTCTCCTAATCCACTAATTCTACAAACCAATAACTGTGCGAGTTAGTGTAGTATTATAAAATAAGAAAAAGTTAAGATCTAAAGGATATTATTACTTTCAGGGTGCTTAAATTTGATCTTAACTCGTGACTCACCATTGAAATGTTGGGTGGCAAACTTATAATTCGTATTTCTTGTTAGCAAAGCCGTAACACACACTTAACACTAATAATTCTTAATTATTAAGCTGATCGGACGTATTAAGTTTTCTTATACTGTCTATTATCTAAACAGTACATTTGGCTTTCAAGCAAACCTGTTCTTCTTTTATGATTTCGTCCTTTGGTATGCATGGGATTGATTGTAGTGATTTTGTTGCTTTGTGGACAACACCTATTCTGAAAGGTTATAACAATCTCGTTGTAGTTTCTGATACGCCCTTTATATATGGTAGGGTGGTTATCACTTCTCAGTCGCCCACACCATGGAAGGGTTCTTGTAGAAGTACTTGGAAAGTTAATTGGATGAGAGTTGGTCTTAGTGGCCTGACAGAGTGACCGCAGTGTCCAAGAAACAACTGTTTGAGGTCAGTCACACACCACCTTTTTGGGGATACGTTTTGTGTTGGCTTCCTACTTGTTGAGACCTTATCGCCGGAGACAGAAATCCGTGGGATAAGGTGATGTGTGCATTCTTAGGGTCGACCATTTATAACCACACCCTTCACTTGCGGTAAGGCAGCATCGTTGTTATGTTGGTTGTCTGAAAGAAACACCTTACTGTTGTCTTACCTCTGTATAGTCAGCAGTACGACTTTACCCTTGGACCTTGGGTTTGCTACTGTTGGTCTTACCGCTGTTCAACCGACCTGCCCGGTATGGTAGGACCTTGAGGAACGATTGTTCCATCCAGCATAGCTCAAATGGTTTATCATGATAGGCAAGCCCGACTATAGCGTCAAGGTAGCAGCGACGGTAGAGCTACTGAATTAACTCTCACTAATCTAGATTATATTATATTATATTTATACATCTTAAACTTTATTTTAAAATTTATTCGGCATGAGATAATAAAATCGTTTATAGGTATCAATACCAAGGTTGAATTTGATAGTTTCATATAAATTGAGCATTGGGTAGAAAGAGTTAATAATACATACATTTTTATTATATCCCAATGGGTAGGAAAAATTGTATTTCTGACATTTCGTAACTCAATGTACGTTATTTTTTCATGTCATAAATACAATTTTTCTACTCAATAGGACATAACAAAGATACATCTCATACACATAGTCCTATTTATTATTTTGAAAAGAGTGGAAACAAAGATTCTAGCAGAATAGCATAAATTCATTTTATTTCGACAGTAGCTGATGAGAATCAACGGAATAAAATAAGATTTATGCTATTCGGCTAGAATCCTTGTCCTTGTTCTTTTTAAAAATATATTTATTAAATAAAATGAGTAGATTGTGTAGAATTTCATAAGAAAATAAATAAACTCGAGCTTATTTAACTAGATCATAGACAACAATTTTTAATCATTGGTTTTACAGATTAAAATATTGTTCCCTCCTGGTTCAAAGACCGGCTAAAGAAAGAGGGTTGGGAGTGAAATTGAAAACTCCATTCCATAGAAAATAACCTTGCCGAAAAATGCGAACCATAGTTAGACAATACGCCACTAATACGGTACATAGAAAATGTCTTACATCATAGATAAGTTTATAATATTGATTACGTTTTACACGAGTTGTCAGTGCAATTACTATATTCATTATTTTGTGGTTTATGACTAGGCCTAAAATCTGAAAAAATAAAACAAGCAACACCAAAATGGCTTCATACTGTTGATATACTACTACTGTAAACCATGGCAATACAATAATAACAACCATATTTGTGGTGACAATTTCCATTGATCAATAGGATAACTACAAAACACTACTTACCATTTCTTGTACTACTTAGTATAATTCAGTAACCTCAGATACATTTACATCTTAGACCATCAATTCTGCTAGTTGAATGACAGCTGAACAGAGAAGCTAAGAACCCACGTATCTCAAGTCAAATATTTAGGCGACCATTAGGCCATAATATGTTTGATTGATTTTCCTAGTGACCTAACGGAACAATATGATCATTTTATGTGGGATAAATGTAAGATAAATTACGTAAATATCGGGTGATTTATTTAATCGTGTGTACTTGCAAGCCTTGATTGAAACTCATGTATAAATTTCATGTCAATATAAGAGATTATTCGGAAATCGAGTCAAGAAACGAAAACGATTGATATTTTACTATGAAGATTTAAATGTATTTTACTTTGATGGAATATTTCAACACTATTTTCCTAAGCTACTTTGAAGTGTTCGAGTCAAAAAATCTAATTAGACTAGGATTCAAATAGATTTCAGGAATCCTTTCAATTTTATAGACTAAAAGAGAATTGAGTTTTCCTCAATTAATTAATTTCTAACAGGTCCCCGTTATTATCATTGCCAATAATCATAGTATGTATCATTGAGATCATGAACCGATCAATGTTAGACCACCATTGAAAACCTCGAGGCACTGGATGGGCTTCCTGTCTAAGTATGAGACTCCTCAGCAGTGTACATCCACTGTCCCAAACACGGGACCCAAACCTAGGCCCTTAACTCTCGCGTGCGAACACTTTACATCTAGACCACAGAGCCGGCATCCGACGGTGTTAATATCTAACTTCAAGCAACCAACTGTTAATCATAGTATGTACGATATTTATGCTTTTCCATAAATTTAAAATGAAATCCAGTGAACGTGACAATGTTATATGTATATTCCTAGGTTGTATTCGCCACAGACTGATATTAACTGGTATATCATACAGACTTACGTCATCAACACAGAGCCTAACACAGCTGTATGTTGGCAAAAGTTGTCACACCTGATTACCACAATCAACTCGCGATACAGAGCGACAACCATTCAATCCCAGTAGTAACAATTGCTCCACTCACAATATGTCTGAATAAATATACAATCTCAAATACTAAGATTGCTAGTCACGGACAGATATAAACAGCACTTTCCAAATGGATTAAGGGTTTCAATCAGAGGTATAAAAACTTCAAAAAAACATTATGCGGCGCCAGGAAGGCCATCTGTCGTTTATACTGACGAAATCATAATACGCGTGTAATCTTGACATAGTGGAGTTTTGTAGCCGAAATAGATGATTTTGATGGAGTTTTGTTCTCTGAGCTGGAAAAATGTTGAGATCTTGGATAGAGACAATTTTTAGAAGCTTGGCACACAGGTCATTCAGCTATCAACAAACACATTGAAATCGATCCAATTTATCAACCAATAAGAAAAATTTCGGAAAGACATAGGACCAAAAATCAAATCAATGGGAGATACAACCAAAATAAAAAAGTAAACAATGACAGGTTACGGGTCAACAATAAGCAATCAATATCGAGGTCTACAAGACAAGCTATGAACCACATGTGAAGAAACTCGAACACTTCACTTCTACCCCGATATTCGCAAAAACATGACCGAAGTTCGGGGAGGAAAAAAAGATGCAGTTGATTTTTGAGGACTTTCAGATATAATGGGTAATGGAAGTAAGGATGGAACAAGTGTATTCCCACAGGTACATAAATATACTATTATGTTACCATAAAACTAACCTGTGTTCTGTGGCCGGTATACTGAATCCAGCTGTCGGGCAATTATAATACCTTCTGGCGAATAACAAGGCAACCAAACTATCAGTCCCTTTGAAATTCACTAAATGTGCAGTGCCACCAATTGCAGCAGACTGTAATATATAAGTGGAAAATAAAACGACGATTATCATTAAGTTAAATGACCGAGAGTAAGGTGGTGGTCGGAGGTAGGCAACAGGAAATCCTGTAACTAAATTTTGTGTCACTTACTAGCTAGCAGAGTTTACCAGTAATCTTGAGGAAATCGAAGCTCCGTGTGGCATTCGATCCCATGTCAACAAGCTTCACATTCAGAGATGTTATTTACTACTGAGTTATCTGAGCTGCGATTGATCTCCTGTAGGATTGAGATGCATTCGCAATCGATTGATCAAGTTCTATCGATTAACAATAAGAACTTGATATACATGGTATTGGTAGCTACTCAGTGACTAATCAATTGTAAGTAGAAAATGGATAGGAGTTTAGGACATACCACTAAGTATTTTCTCGAAGAAAACGACAAATAAAACGAAACTACATTCACTTTTGAAGTCGAATGCTGACTCTTCAATGTGACAAAAAAATCTAATACGTTAGTAAATGATTTCCAACCAAATCGAATTTTAGGCCATAAAGCAAAAATCAGAAAAGGATGTTCTAATTATACTAACTGCCACTAAATAGCGATGTAATACAGTTACTCAAAACATCGTGTCTTGTACATATTCATTAAAACTAACAAACACGAAGTCATTGGGAAAAAATTTGTTCCGACTGATTTACAAAACTCAAAATACCATCGGATTAACATATTCTCAACCTAATATGCAAGTATGGTTTCTGTTCAGCCGAAAATACATACATTTCTGTAAAGTTGCGGACTAATAATGGTCATTAAATCTAAATTACTTAATTATCTAAACAAACTTTGGCACAAAAAGAGACAAAAACATGTATGCGCCACACAAAGTAGCTATTATTAAATTTGCGAATGGGCTGGAATACTACCCGGGGACCCAAATCGAACAAGGTGGTTTTTCCAAGGGAACCATTCCCCAAGCCTATGACCCAGATGCCTAATCCATTAGACAGTGGAGCGACATTAGAAGATGAAGTCCCATGGTAGCCCGTGACCAACAATAAGTTCGTACGTCATTTGTTCCCTCAGGACCATGGAGCCATTGTGAACCATTGATTTGAAATCAGTGTTTTCCAACTCCCGTAAGTGGATACTGTATATCAACCAACCCAATTAAAGCTCTAGACATTTACTTTTCGTCCTATCAATCTCACGAACAACAACCCTCTCATTGGAAGGCAGTGAATAGGACTTACTTGGCAGTGACTTTATGCGCGTGGCCATATGAGGGCATTTTGAGAGGGAGAGTGAAATCGCTTCACACTTGATCGTACTAGTAGAACCTTACGTCTATCTCATCAAGCGTATGATTATTGAATGTTAACTAGCTTACCAACCACTTATTTGACTGATCAAGTGATAAATAAGAACTGAGGAAGAGATAGCTATCACCGGTTATCGTGTAACATATGAGTAAGAAATCAAATAAATGATCAAAAATATCATTATTTGATCTAAATACCGATAAGGAAATGATCTAAGTCTCAAGATAATTTGGTCTACAGGATAGGGAGAACAGTGAACTACAGATACAACATTATATGTGAAAATTATATTTGAAATATTCTCAGCGATTGAAATTTAACTAATTCCAACGTTTCGTCCAGCTAACTTGTCTGGACTTCTTCAGGGTAATAATCAAAATCAAAATTATCAAGGAAATATATAGCTTTTAACAATCAGGATTATACTGTGTTAAACCAGTCATATTTGGGTGTTGATTTTTTGTAAAATAGGATAAAATGAGTCAGTTGACTACAAATCATGTGATGAATTCAACTACATGGAAATACTTAACTGAGTAACAAATCGTATGTGTGTGAGTGTGTATGTATGTATGCATGTGTGAGAGATTGATATGAAGGAATAAATAAAGTTCAAGTTCAAGGATGAAAAAACTTGATAATGAAAGATCGATGTGCATGTCAAATTGTATTGTTTAGAAACTCATTCAGTTCAGAAGTTAGCTGGACGAAACGTTGGAATTAGTTAAATTTCAATCGCTGAGAATATTTCAAATATAATTTTCACATATAATGACTTCTCTATACTCGGCGCTCAATTACTGTCAAACTATTCGTTCTAATCTTGACGAATATTCGTATACAGATACAACAATTTTATCGACATGGATGTTCTAGTGATGTTGACCATCACCTTAAAAAAAACTACAGAATTCCGATCATACACTAAGTGTAGTCGCCAGTCTTTTGTTTCATTGTATGTTTTCATAAGATGAACATGCTTTCAAGTGTATATCATTCTTCTCATCTAAGCAACATAGGCTAATTTAGTAGTCTGTATATGGTTACCAATACATCAATAAACACTCCTTGACATAGAGGAACTTTACGGTAACTTATACTAGATAAAGGAAAGGAAACAACGTACAGAGAACTTGAAAGATAACCCATGATTGTCATGAACATAAAGGAGTAAATTGTCGAAGAGTAATCAAATATTCAAAGCTTAAAGATCGTTGGTAATTTATTCAATTGCATAAATTTTCAACCAAACCACTCAGTAACGCTATCGCCATGTCTTAACCCAGTCACATCGTGAATCCATACCTACCAGTATTCATAGATAATTCGTAAGGTTTAATGTTTTTGGTAAAAAAAGATATGGTCAATCAACAGTAACCAAAGCTAGTGAAATAATACAGAACCAATGATCTGCGTATAAACGAATTTCATGGTGGCAAATAGAACTACATGATGAATAATACATGGCTAAATGAGAATGCGATTGTATGAATGACAACTTTTAGTAATTCCTATGATTCACTTAAGCTTCTAAGTCCTTCAGTCTTGAAGTACCCTAATTTGATTGAGTGAAATACATAATGTATGGGTTTTAATTCATAGAATATTTTATATTGAATTAGTAGGGAATTTAGTCCAATAATTGTAGTTCTAAACGTAGTTTGACCAATTCATATTTTAGCTAGTCTGGTAACTAGACATAGTCCCATCTGGTTGGTTTCGATACCTGATCATCTTAGTCTAAAAAAAGGAACAGAAATCCTCTCATTACAGCCACGAGGGAATCGTTTCAAACAGAATAGTTTCAAAACATAGGCCTAGAATCATCCCACGTTTAATTCGGATATGTGAAGAGCAAACGCAAGAAAACTAAATTGGTTTCAGACCTAGAAGTAACTATGTAGAAAAAATATTCTCCCTCTCGCGGGTTCGCAAACATAATCATGCCAACCGAACCTCAACAATAGTTATAGTTTTTGGCCTTCAGACAGCATCCGACTAAGTAAATTGATAGGTTTTATGATAATGTCTGCCAAGTAAACAATACCAAGTGAATTCAAAATAAGGACTGATGTATCATAGTTGGTATGATTATAATAATATGTTCTGTTTACCATGAATGATTATTTGCTCTCTATGAAATATAGATCATTTGCATTTTACCATGACGGATGTTTTTGGAAATTGTTGAATTCCATAGTTTTTATCATTGTCTGGTCTTTGTCCTGAGTTCGGTGATGTCATGGACACACACTGTCGGCGTCCCATACAAAACAGTTGTCCAGTGATTCTTGGATTTTTATGGTTCCTTAAACAACATCTGTCCATGATATAAACTCAAGTGTTATTTTAGTACATGTCATGGATGAGAGTATTTAGTCACAGTTAAATCAAGATGAAAGCGATCTCCTTATTGTGAACAGCTTTCTATCAAATAGTTATTCATTATAAAAACAAGCTTCAAATCATACTCAACTCAGTCTAATTCAAAATACTATACCAGTATTTGATACTTCATAGGTGTAATCCTATTTACATATGTGTTACTTCACAAGTTTTAGTCCCAACACTTATCATACATTGGTGAATAAGTGAATCAAACCTAAATAAACGAGTTCATAAGGATAACTGTACATAGAGCAACAATCCATTTTCAATCGAAAATAAGACAAAAATCGAACACCATCAAACTATACTGAGAAGTCATGTTCAAATGAATCAGTCAGTCAGCTACAACGTAGAGTCAGGCACATATGTGGATCGGTCCAAGTTGTCATACCTCATTGGCACAACAAGATAAACACCAAATTCATAGAAGTAGTTAGTTCAGTGGTGGTAATATATAAAAGAAAGACTGCATATTAGGATATAGTACAGGAAGAAAGAATCAGTTCGTAGAAAGAAAAATATGAAGCGATTTTAATCACACGGTTTAAAGGAAGACAAAGAGTGCATACACCTACGCCATTGTGATCGATTCTGAGACATGTCACACAGAATCGCCAACCATTGGTTATGATGGTCACGCGGACCCCAACCAAGTAGTCTACATCTAGCAACATGGTCCAGACCAGAAGGACTGATGCCACGTTTTGGTTTGGCCGCCCCTAACTTTCTTCCAAACATCCCCAGCACTAGTCAGCATTGCGCGTCGTGGTAATCAGTGTTCAGGCATACGCAACATGTGGCCCAGACATCTCAGTCGATGAAAATTCACAATCACTGTACAGAAACAAAGTTCACTTTACATAGACTAAAAACGAGTGTGACCTTTCATTTCTAATTATTACATCGATCTCAATCTACAGTAAGAATAACCTTTTGCAATTATAAAAAACGTCACTTAAACACTTCCCTTTCACACGATACAGTCAAACACTTAAAAAGGGAAAACGTTTGGAATAGAAGTTGAAATAATTCAAGTGATAGACTTACTTCAATGGAGGAGACGCCTCGGAATCCAAAGTCATGAAGTCTAAATTCAGTAGAAAATTCATCTGCAGTTTCATGAAGATACTTAACAATAATTTGTTTCATTGCTCGTGAATTTGTTGCTACAGCCATCGGATACCAAACCTGTACTAATATAGTCTATACTATGCATACATGATCAGTAAATTTTATCCCACCTCAAGATACGTAGTAAGCCAGTAACATTTTGGATCAGTATTTTCAACAGTCATTAAGACATTTTTTGTAGGCACCAACGTACCTTCAGGTACTGCCTTAATAATAATTGGTAAATAACCTTTATGGTGCTAAAATAAACAAATTTTACAAAAAGTACAGCAAAACTAACATTAACAATGTATCTCCATCCTTCTTCATTGAAAATATCTCTACCGAAATGGCTCAGTAAAATGGATTTCGCCTCATCAATTTTTTCATGTGTTATTACTTGACCAACTAAATTTTTCTTCAAAATATACTGCAATCCAAAAAATACAGAATTGGGAAATCTCCCACCACGGCTTTCAAAATATGAGTAAATGAATTCTGTACCAGCAGGATACTGAGAGTAGTGACTCACCTTGAATGTTAGAAAAAAGTTGAAACAAAGAGAAGCGACATACTTTGTATGAATCACATAAAAGGATGATATTATCAAAAGTATTCGACTGTAATCCACTCATCATGGAGAATATTGATGGCTTATGTGTATAATTGTATCTAAAAGGTGAGAACTATGTCTGATTAAACAGTTAAGATACTTCTGTAGAACATATTTCTCACAGCACATATTAAATAGGCTTTCCTGAATTTAAACTGTATAAACGCATAGGATGAATAAACACGACTACAAAATAAAACATTTTATGCAAAAAGACTTACTTGATGAGTTGGCTGCAGAAAAACCAGTTTATCTATGAGTTCATCACAGCCCCCTACTCGACTTGCCTGGAACCTGGTTTATACAACATGGTCTTTCATGGTAGACAATTTGGCGTGTAAAATAAGTAATTCAGTCCATTTGCTTGGGGCATATTTACAACCCCATTGACTGAACTTATTCAGTCTAACCTTACATTAAGATTCAAGTGCTTATTTCCTTGCTTCAGTTCATATGGCAAATTTTTTAAAGACACGTAATCAAACACCCGTAATTTGCTTGCATCCTTCAGTCACAAGTGTACAGTAGCATACAGTGAAGTTTTGTGTGGTGAACTCATACATCCATCAATAAGCAGCTGGACACTAGCGACATAGGTGGTGTTTGATATATGCTGAATGTATATTCAATGTCTCGGAAAATTTGTTTTGCGGACCAGTTGGTGTAAACATAAGAAACATGATTAGAAAGGATAATCACTTCACTCCCTATTCATTAAATAGACAATTCCTTCGAATACTTTAATATTGCAACATAATTGACAGGTGAGAAACTTGTGGACTATTCAAATCTAGGTGTTTACAAATCCTATTACTATATTTGAACAGATAACTCTGACATCTGCACATTAATAAGTCGACGATGAAGGCAAACGGGAATAGTGATAATGAGAACCATCATCTGACTACATTGATGAAAATTCCAGGACAATTTTCCACAAAAAATTCCACAGCAGTGGCAAGAACGCAACAACCTATTGCGATCTCATGATAAATTCAGAAAATTCGATAATCTATGTCTCCTGTCTGCAGAAACTTTCAGGTAACTTGTCCTGAAGATTTCTTTACTTCTAGCACGTTGGTCTTATTGTATGCATTACTTGGATCCTAAGACATTATACAGGTCACGTTTAACTAGGACGAGAAACGGAATACTCCTCATGTTAAGATGCACTTTCTAATATTTCAGTACAGAAGACTTCAAAGTCTTATTACAAGTTTACGATCGTAAGCCTGTTGTGATCTAAAGCCATACAAATTGGGTTCACGCATATATGTGTGAATTTAAAAAGACTTGATACCTCATATAAGAGAATTTTTGTTATTTTCTTAGCCAGAAGATTGTAATGAACACAGATCTATTATCCAATTGCATAATGATGTTGAGCTAGAAATATAACTTAAGTTATATTTCTAGCTCAACATCATCCCGCCTGAACCCCAAAAACCGAATACCAAAGTAGTTGGTTATCACAGCGATATTTCACAGAGAACAACTCAGAACGACAAAACCCGCGATGGAAAGCTCACATGAAGTAATGTCCTCAGATCTTAACACAATTTCGCAAGTATTTAAACTCGAGCCAGGCAATAACAAGTGAACAGAACCATTAAAACAATGTCACGGCCCTCAATCCTGACCACTGTCAGTCTGAAAGAGCGGACAATCACTTCCGCACAACTTGCGTCCGAAGTGGACAAAACATAAGTTTAGCTAGTATTAAGACACCAGTTATATCTAAACCTTGATGGATAGGAATAGTCAAACACTATCTAGTCTCTATAAAAAAGAGTAAGCAAACATGGAAACTAACAAAACAAATCGAATAGCAATATCCATAGTGATCTATGTCAAAACTCTCCAAGCAAAGGTAAGTGAAGAAACTGTTTAAAATATATCAGCATAGTTTCAAACCACAAATGAAATTTAGACATTGCTTACGAGAACTGTTTTTCCGTTAACTAATTTACCTCGACATAAGGAGATCGCTGCTGGTAGATTATTGTGGTTTCGCTTTATTTCTTAGAGAATATAAAGTGTAAAACGTAAGTTATTAGTAATAGTGAAACAAAAACCTATGGTAGTCAGCCTCTGAATCTAAAGAACCAAAGTAACCGTCGATCCCTACTTTCGAAGGCCCCGCAGATAGGGCCAATACTATGCTTCTTGGCAAAGAACTCAGTACTTTGATGATCCTGACTTCAACAATATTCGCAAAGCATTTTGCACCAGCTCATTGGTGTTCTATTCTGAATGAATATAGTCTCATATGTAATTTAGTACTAAAGTGAGTTAATTGTTGAAGATGGCACAGGTATTCAGTGTTTGACAACGCTTTTACCAGTAACACTTCTAATATAATTTGTAACCACCAAGAGAAATCAAAAGACAGAGTCAAGGAGATCGGAAGAGTGTAGTTGGCGATAACCAATATATCGGAATTCTCTGATCTAATCTGGCTAGCGATTGCGGTAGATGTTGAGCACGGCGTTACCACACGTGATCTGGTGCGGATGCCTGACCAAGCGCCTTCAGCTAGATGAGTCCATTAAAACATGTGGTCAGCATCCAATGTCGAAAACTTACAGAGCTATTTATTTTGGGGATTTATTTATCGCTACATGGTGAAAAGAATTGTGAGAAATGTGGTTTATCCCTATTGTATTATCCCTAGTCCCGCTGTACGGCAAAGTTTGAAAGTTCAGGGCTTCCAGGGGAACTTAATTGGGTATAATTTTCAGTAAACATATCTAATTACTTTCCTTACAATTAACTCACTCCAAAAAGAGGAAAATTCTTCTAATGGTTTCGGGCAAAAGACAAGATTATTCCAGATAAAATTTCAGATAAACACAGATGTTTTGAAACATTTCTGGAATCAAGTTATACTCTGGAAATAAACTTCAAGATTTTATGCGCTTCTCTGGCTGCATACTCTCAACACGAAAAGACACTCGGAGGTATTGTATAAAGTGGTCCTCAGGTGCAGTGAAGAATCTTGTACAGATATCACCCAGAAGGTGTAAAGCAAATAAAGCGTCACTACTGTTCTTTAATTTGATCCTGTTTTTATTGATATTGTTGTTGGCAGTCCAGCTGAATAACGTCTTGGACTGTCAAGATGATATCCAAGCCAACTGTCCACTTTCAAATTTCAACACCATATACATAAATGAGCGTTTGAGGATCTAGAGTTAGGTAGGTGTGATGAACAACCAGTATACTTGATATTTAGTTCAACATATTATGTTTTGTTTAAACCTACCATAACAATGCAATGCAATCTCATACTATGTACTTCGCGTTTGAAATCCTGATTGTGTCATGGTTTTCGAATTACTGGGATTAGTTCTGCTTCATTATATCAGTAAAAATTCACGTCTGGCGTCGCATTTCAAGTGAACTCTAGTAACTCGGGGGAATCGCCCATCAATGCACTTGATGCTTGGTGTTTGTCAAAAAACTTCAAGAACGGTAGAATATCAGCTCATTTTGTGACCGCTATTAGTTGGGAAGCCTATAGTTTTTTGAAGAACCTTCCATATCTTGATAAATTTATCCTACTTTCGTTCAACAAACTACAGAGATTTCTGGAAGACCATTTCCATTCAACATCATTCAAAACATGTGAGATAGCACAGTTCAATTAATTATTTCGTGCTCCGAATCAAAATATTACAGATTTCATACTACAGCTTCGGAAACAAGCTATTAAGTGTGGTTTCGGTGAACAAATGCTTATTCAGCATCATGACTGCCTGATTGCTAGCATAAACGATCCTTAACTAAAGAAACAGCTCATATAATTCTTTTCCTGCACTTTTCATACAGTTTAAAACTTCTGTTCTACTTCTGAAGATGTCGCCATTGATCTTCGTGATTTTGTTACGAAACAAAATAAAGTTTTATTATCGAGTGTAATTAAGTTTTATGTACTTCAGAAACCTGAGACTTACAACAACAGTTCCGATTCATTCGGACTAGTTACTATATAGTGGCATTGGTCCCTAACCACACAATTTTCAAAGTTGAACATGAGACAACTGGAACAATAAACTTTCAACCTGTCACACAAAGAGGTCAAAAATGATGAACGCCGGACCATTCATTCCAAATCCATTGAATTCACTGGATGGCATGTCTCGACCTTAGATGTACGGTGTGTTTGTGGTGTTTGAACGGAGTAATGATATCATTGTACTTGTTGAATGCTTGGTTTCGAATTCTAAATACAATACATTCGTTCGTGCTTGTGTCGTACTTCTTCAATTAATTGGGTTATTTCGGGGATTCTTAGTTCATACTACAATTGAAATAATTGAAAACACCATATTGGCGTCGCAATGGAGCCTGCGATGGAAAAGTTTAATTATAGTATTCTAATTATAGTATGAATTAGGAATTCCAGGATTAACGCAATTGAATTAAGAAGACACAGGCAAAACGAATGTACTGTATTTAGAATTCGAAATCGAGCATTCAACCAGTACAAAGGTATCATTAGTCCATTCAAACACCACATCCGCCACAGCTTAAATAGAAGTAGAAGTGTTTGTAATCGGTTGTACGTCTTCTTGTTAAGTTCATCCTGAGTCTGTCCGACATTGTATAAGATAAAAACTTTGTAGTATCTAGAAAGTGCTCATTAGTATTGGAATTAACAAACGAAATCGGAACAGACTCACCTGGGATTGTATACAACCAGCATGTCGGTTTTGTACTGAAATCATTAATATCTAGAATTCGAACCATAGATTTTTCAACACTATCCCCTCCCCCCACGAAATAATGTTGGATCTTTATACTCCCAAGTTATGAATAATGTGGCTTCATTTAAAACATATATCTCACATTGTTTAGAGTAAACATTAGAACTGTTTTTGTGATAAGAGTAAACAGCAGTTGATATGAAATCATCCGAAATATAATAAAACTCGAGGTCACTTAGTACTCGTGCTTCGCATTGAGCAGGTTTTCCGCAAGGATCAAATACATTATGAGGATAAGTAATATATGATATGACATCAGGATTTGATTCTTCTGAAATATTCCCATGAAATTCATTAGGACTGTCATTGCAGAGCGTAGGATCGTTAGAAAAATCAGCATCTATCCAAACCACATCAGGT